GCTTTCTAAATTCAAAAACACTGTTTCTTTTCTACATAATTTCATATTTTATTAGAAAATGAGATACATTATAAGCAGTTGACATTGTTTCCCTCTCCAGTCCCTGTCCGGGCCTCCAGTTTCCCCTCTTTAAAATAGCAGCAAATTGTACCAGCCCAGTTGCAGTTGTGATATAAAATCATTTTGTCTTCAGTGAACAGATTTTTTAAAGTCAATTGACAGTTTTTTTTTTTTTTGATCCTCGTCTTACAGACAAGATCCCAGAGCGTTGCTCAAAATATGATGCTGAATCTTAACCAGGGCATAAAATCATAAACAATATGGCATAAAATCTATCGAGGCATAAGAGACAATGAAACCCCTAGGATCATTCATAAAGAGATGAATATGATGAAAGTCTAAAGGTCTAGAATAACCTCTTGGGTAATTTGGGAGTAAATTAAATAAATTTTTAACCATTTCTTATAATCCATTGCTTGGGAAAAGTCTTAAGACAAAAAGAGAAATCTTCTTATGAAACTTGTTACTTGTTCTTTGTTAATTGTATGAGCTTACTTAAACTGAGTCAAACATTTTATTGTTTGTTCTATTGCTGTGTTTGTAATTTCATTTTTATTCACCAAAACAGGTCTCTTTTGTAAATTATATCCTGGATCTCAAGGAGACAACCTGTATAAATAAAGGTGAAATAAATAAATTAATCAAATATTCCAAGATTCAACCAAATGCACAAAGATTTAAGCAATGAAGAGAAAAACATTGCTTTTTTTCAGAATATTTCAAAGGTCTGCTGATGCCAGAACATTTCCTGCTTAATATAGAACAAGCAGCACTAAGCACTAATACTTCAGGAAACTTGTGTAATGCTTGCAAAAGTTAGAGATGTCAAGGTTGGTTGTGGTTTGGAGGACCCAAATGCAGAGGCAGAGAGGCTGAGGTGAATACTTGTAGGTTTAATGAAAAAATGGTTAACAAATGCAGTCCAAAAATCCAACTAAAATGTAACAGATCAGAACCATAGAGACATCAAGGAAAAACACGTAGAATGAGCCAGGGAGAGACGAGGGAAGACGATTGCAGCGATGACAGGACCAGCAACAACAGAGGAACCAACAAAGAGTGAGAGCAGAGGGAGAGCATACTGTAAATAGCTGACAGAGACAAAGGGAGGGCTAACGAGCTGACAAGGAGCAGGTGTGAGAGGAGACAATGACGGAGCCAAGGGGAAAGGAACAAACACACACACAGGGCTACAGAGGATAACAGAAAAACATGAGAACTAACAAATCTAGAAAATACAACCAAAGGAATTAAACCAATAAACTAGGAAAAATAGAACAAAGTTAAGCAAAATATAACCAAAACCATGACAAGAGATGAGCTCCCCTCTTTGAACATGGTAATAAGTTGTTTGCAGAGTTTTTTTTAATGACTTTTGAGATCTTTAGTGATGTTTTGTCAGTACAACAAAACAATGCACAACAATAGTCTCAACACTTCTAAAAACATTAATGGACCACTTTCTATGGATCAGCAGGTAGCAAAACAGGCTGAAGCGTAGCGGTTTTACTAAGGTTCTTTCTACTTTTTCTTATCTTAAAGGAAACAAGATGATGAGGTGAATTTTACATGTGAATCCAGAAATTGATTTGAAACCAAAAATGAGCATTAAACCTAATGGACCTATGGAGGGATGAACTTGCTTGACTAATGTGTTTATACTTCAGCTGGAGGTATTGTATGACCATCGTTTCTGTTTCATGAACTAGTGTGGGCCAAACGACTTGTAAAATTTAATATCAATGGCAGAAAAATAGTACTGACATTAGAAATCTAAATTAAACCTACAAAGGAATTTTTCACATTAAACATGAAAATAATGATGGAGCAAATGTTAAACCTTGAGGAGTCTCACTGATTAAATCATCTTTAAGTCATTAGCAGTTTTTACAGAGACATTTCTATCCTTTAAACAGAAGGAAACAAAACTGTATTCTCTGTCTAGCTGCTACATCGGCAATGTCCACTGCATGAAAAGTGGGATTTTCGTCAATATACGGCACTGTAGATTGTCGTGGAACTTCAGGTTAGCGGCAGTTTACGGCAATTTGCAGGCTTCGCCGAAAACTCCCGTAAATTGTCAGAAATTGACGTGGAATTTCATAGGCAGTGTTCCCCCCATGCCTCCCCCCCATGGAATTCTAGGGGAGGCTTTAACATGTAAAAGAACATGCTGTGAGCTATACAAATGCAAACCAGGGTTGCAGGGGGGGGGGGGTTTACCCCAAGTGACATCTTTCTAAAAGGTAAGAAAATCTCTGATACAAAGACATCAGGCTCAGTATAGCCTCTTACATTTTAGCTTGAATTGATTTATTTAATTAAAGTATAGAGACCAAAACAGATCTCTAGCTGACAGAGCAATACATTTAGAGCAGTAATTATTTTTAAAAAAATTTGCATTTAAGATAAAAAATAAAATGTTGTCTGTCAATATGCTCAATTCACAATTACTTAAGTGGAAAAGTTTCAAGAAATTATTCTGAGATCATTCACTTTATAACATGGCGCATTATCCTGTTGGAAGTAGCCATCAGAAGATTGATACACTGTGGTCATAAGGACATAAGGTCAGCATGCTAAATTGGTATTAAGTGGCCCAAAGTGTGGCAATAAATATCCCCCAAATAGATGGTAGAAATAGATCAGGCTCAGTATAGCCTAATTATAGACTCTTACATTTTAGCTTGAATTGATTTATTTAATTAAAGTATGCTAGATTACTGTGTATGCAAATGTTATGTAAAAAAAATACACAAAATAATTTATTTCAAAAATTTGTTTTAATCAGAATCAGTTGGCTGTAATGGCGGTTGGCAAACAATTTTTTTTTTTAGATTTCCACTTTTTTTTTATTGAATATATAAGAAAACAATAACAATCTCAAGTAACAAGTCAATAACAAATATTTCAATACAAGAAGAAATATCACAACTCCTGCTTTTGAAAAATACTATTAAATGCACAGGCTGGAACAAAGTATAAAATAAAATAAATAAAAATAAATAAAATAATAATAGTAGTTAAAGTAAATTAATCAGTGGGGACTACCAACTGAAATTCTTCAATTAACTCAAACAATTTAATTGCATTTAAATTTTGCATCTTTCTCAGACATCTTTTGAAATGAGCAACTTATCTTGTGGAAGATCTGAAATCCCATCAAGAGAAAAAAAAAATTAATATTGAACAAATTTGACAAATATTCCTTAATAGGTGCAGTCGGCTTCCAATTTAATCTTGTTTTGTGGTTTCCATGAAAACGATTACTGAGAATTTATACAGGCAACATTAAATATTCGATAAATTGTTATTAAATTAAATAGAAAATGTATTTTTTTAAATAGAATAATTAAATAAATGTATCCAAAAGTGAATATATATTTTCACTTTACATGCATGAATGGAAATAGCATTAATCAGCTAAATATATTTTCAAGCAATTCCTCATCTGTTGCTTTGTTAGTTTTGGGTCACAGTCTAAATATTTGGAAAACCTCTGTCCTAAATTAACATAGAAAATGAACAAATGGTTTGTTTTTTTGACAATCAAAAGACAAAGACAACTTCTCATGTTTTATGCTACTTTTTTCATGTTTACCTTCATTTTAATCATTGTATTATTTTTCATGTTATTCATAGCACTTAGAGATACTCTACCTATTTAAAGAACTTCATAGATATTATTTGAATAATATTTGTTATCATTATCTCCACTAACATGGCTTAAATCCTTATTCTTCTATAATAGTCACTCTAAACTGCCTGCTGCTTATTTTTGCGTGCAAAAAAAAAAAAAAGTTGTACGTGCAGTTGCCTCCCTACTCTAGAAAAGGATAAACGGAGGGTCATGATGGATAACGATGAGTTCACACAGCCTCCTTCATGCTGTGAACGGGACACCTGTTCAGCGAGGTATTAAAGGTGTCTGTGAGGACACCAGCCAGCTGATCTGCACACTCCTTATACACTCGCCCAGGTATGTTATCGGGCCTTCCTTGGATTGACTCTCCTCAGAGTCTTCCTAACTTCAGCTACGTCCAGGTTTAGTGCCTCCTCCCCCTGGTGTGGAACAGCTTTCTCTGCTGGAGGCTGTTTAGTGCCTCAAACCTTCCTTGTTCAGTTCGTTTAGGAAGTCAATGTTTGCTGCATCTACTGGGGGGGGAGGGTGTGTAGTAAGTAGTCTGTGATCATTCGAATGCCTTTCCACATCCTCTTGCTGTTGCTGTCATCGCAGAAAAAGATCCTAGATCTTCTGGCCGTGGTTCTTCTCTGATCTGATGGCACGGTTTAAGTTGGCATGCGCTGTTCTCAGTGCCTCTTTATCACCAGACTTGAAAGCTGAGTTCCGTGCTTTTGGAGATTTCTGAACCTCTCCATTTGTCCAGGGTGCATGGTTGGCCCGGGTGATGATGTTCTTTTTGATGCTGACGTCCTCGAATCATTTGTTGTCGATGCATTTGTTGATGTAGGCTGACACAGTCATGGCATACTCAGCAATATTTAACAAGTTATCATGTGTTGCTGCAGCCTTGAAGATGTTCCAGTCAGAGCATTCAAAACAGACTTGGAGTGTCTCCATGGCACCCTCAGACCACACTCTGACTTTTTTAACCGTCGGTTTAGCCTTGATCAGCTGGGGCTTATATGCAGCGATAAGCATGACAGATAGGTGATCTGATGACCCGAGGTGGGGGCGGGGGGCTGCTCTGAATGCATCATTGATGTTAGAGTAAACCAGGTCTGAAGTGTTTTTAACCCGAGTTGCAAAGTCCACATGTTGGTAAAAATGAGGGAGAACAGTCTTCAAGTTAGTCTGGTTAAAATCCCCAGCAATGATAAAAACACCCTCTGTGTGCAGGTTGGAGCTCAGAGATAGCCTGGTATTGTCATGTTCAGATTAATGTGTCTGACCCACATGCAGAACACTCGGAGGCAGATGAAAAAGTTCAAAGATTTATTAATAATAAATGTACAAAGTATGTTCAGATCCAAGAGGGGGCTTGACTGGTCACGAGTGGGTTCACTGCTGAGGAGGAAAGAGAGATTAGTGGAGGTCCAGGTCTTTTGCAGGTTGTGAGTGTTCAGGTCTGTACCTGTTTGGAAATGGAGCAGAGCTGCAGAGGGGGGGAACCTTGAGGGTCCAGAGGTTGTCGGCAGGCTGAGGGCAGAGGCGGAGGCAGAGCTTACTGAGTGCAGGCAGATCACAGATTGAGTTTTCCTTCCAGTAATCTTCTGAGAGCGGGCAGGCAGATACTTGACTGAGGCTGCTCTCCAGAGTCCTACTGAGAACGAGCAGACAGATCACCGGCAGAGAAACTCTCCAGAGTTTCAGGTATTCAGGCAGGATCAACCTGGGAGGCAGAGAGGAGAAAAACGGGATCAGGTTTGGTTTACAGAAAGTCAGAGTTCACAGCAAGGGCGTAGGTTTGATTTGAACTTTGGTAGGGACACAATTGGTCAGGTGTCATTGGTGCTATGCAATATGCATGCCCTTTTTTTATGCTCGATGTGAGCATCCGTGCTGATTAGAGCAATTCATTGTTGAAAGAGAAAAGCATAATTTTGCTACATTAATAAAAATGTTATAAGCTCTACACGCATTAGATGCTGTTTATCAATGTTTGAAGTATCACCAGCTCTGATGAATGTGGAATTAGGACTGTTTTGACTTTGAAATTGGTTTCATTTAAGTGACTAAGAGAGAAGGTAAATACAGTATTTTCTTTTGAAGATATAGAATTATGCAGAGGTAAACCCCACTCTTATATTTACCTACTATGCTCTCTTTATATCAAGCAAAATAATACATTCATTAAAATATTAACTTACACTATAAAAGTTGAACATCTGGGCTGTAGTTACTCTGTGTCGCCCATTTCAGGTATTTTATCTGGGGCTGAAAAAATGAATTATATTAATTGATTATTTCAATAATTGTCAACTAATTTAGTGAGTGATTCATCATTAACTGAAGAATAGAGACTATAAAACATAATCTAAATGTAAAATGTGCCTTTCCCCGACAGAGCAACCCACTTAAATCAGTAATTATACCAAAATTGTAAAAATACTATATATATATATATATATATATATATACTATATATATATATATATAATATATATATATATATATATTAGACCT